GCCATATAGTTAGTGTTGGAGATTGAATTTGAACTCACGTCTTCCTGACTCCAAGTCTAGAACTCTTCATTGGAATGCCCCCTAGCTGACTTCATGCTATGGCTAAGAACACTTCACTCCTCAAACCTAGCTTATATTTTTGATTGATTGGTTCAATAAGGGTGTCTGGGAATTTAGATATCTAGGAATTGTAATATACATATTTGACTGGTTGTGTAAGTGAATTCAAAGAGACATTTTCACCTGATAAAGGTGATGGGACATAAAGCATCTTAGTAATGACATTAATTGGGCCTGTAGTGATCCTCTGTCATTAGGAAAGATTGTGACCATCTGGAAGGTGTCTAGAAAAAAGGAACCAATAGGGCAGTGAGGTGGCACAGTGGATAGAGCACTGGCCCTGGAGTCAGGAGGACCTGAGTTCAAATCCGGCCTCAGACACTTGACACTTACTAGCTGTGTGACCTTGGGCAAATCACTTAGCCCCAATTGCCTAACCAAAAAAAAGAAAAAAGGAACCAAGTCCAAGCAGTATCAACATGTGTGGAAGAAACATGGAGGTTTAGTTATGAGAAGAGAGAAGACTTTGTGGAGACATGCTGGCTGTCTCCAAGTATTTAAAGAACTGATGCAAGGACAAAGGGGGCTCATTAAGCTTGTTCTTTTTGGCCACTTGGGAGCTTTGGGGTGGCAATTGTAGGGACATGGATTGGAACTTGAGAACAATCACAATCAGTGGAGCTGTTCCATGGGCTTCGTGAGGAGTTCTTAGAGGTCTTTCAGAGAAGACTGAGTGACCACTTGTCAGGAATGTTGTAGAGGAATTCTTGGCCTCTGACGTCCCTGGCTACTCTGAGATGCTGGGATTCTGGGATGCTTTAGCCGTGTTCTATGTCAGTAAACTCTTCATTTTTTAAGTGTTTCATTAGAAATGTAACTTTGAATATCAACCCAAATTACCCAAATGTCTTAGTAAATATTTACATTCAAATTAATCAGTTTCAACACCCAATGCCCTGGAGACCTTTCTTCTGACTCTCCCTCAGAATTCTCTGTCCCTTCACCCTCATTCATTTTAATAGGATCCTAATTTGTGTGTACTCCCTTCTTCCAGGTTTTTTTTTCTTAGAATAATAAAATTGACAAGCCATTAGCAGTTTAATATAAAAAGGGGTTTAGAAGGCATAAACCAGAAAATTTCCAAATGGAAAAGGGAGATCCCAATAAACACAAGGGAATTAAGAGCCTCAATGGAAAATCCTGCACTTCTCTACTGTTCCAGGAGAGTTTGCAACACTTAGGGACCTCTTCTACATTCTTCTTGATGATACTTGGGTTCTCCTGTGGCCAGACAATCAGAAGACTCCTTTCCCTGTCTGCTTCTTTGGCAGGGCCATGGAGAATCTCCAGGATGTAAGACACGGTCCTGGTGGTATTGTGCTCTGGCAGAGTGTGCATCTGCCATCTCTAATGTGTGAGGCTAGAGAGCAGCTCTGACATTTCCATTCTCTCTGTGTCTTCTTTTCATATTCTAAGAACTGCAAGGATAATTGGGATCAGTTCTACTGGAGCTGCTCTCCAGCAGATCACCATGGACCTGCTAATAGTCAAGTCCGTGGCTCTTTTCTCAGGTCTTTTCTTTCTCAACATTTTCTTGAAACTCTTCTTTTTGACACATTTAGATGATGACTATGGCCTTCTAACAGGTTGCTATGTTTCCAGGCTCTCTGTCTTTCAGTGCATTCTAACCAGCAGCTCACAGATTAGTTGTCCTAATTATAAGGGTGCCAGAGTCCTTATTTTCTCTCTGTTCCTTTGACTTCCACTTAGATAGTCTTCCCCATGTTAGAATGTAGGCTTCTGGAGGCCAGGAACTGTCCCACTTTTGTATTAGTAGTCTCAGGACTTGGCACACAGTATTTAAGAAGTGCTTTTTTATATATGTATATGTATATGTATAGCAGCTCTTTTTGTGGTGGCTAAGAATTGGAAATCAAAGGGATACCCATCAATCAGGGAATGGCTGAACAAGTTGTGGTATATGAATGTAATGGGATATTATTGTGCTATAAGAAATGACAAGCAGGATGACTTCAGAAAAACCTGGAAAGATTTACAAGAACTGATGCAGAGTGAAGTGAACAGAACCAGAAGAATGTTGTACACAGCAACAGTAATATTGTTCAGTGAAGATCCATGAATGATTTAGCTCTTCTCAGCAATACAATGATCCAAGACAATCACAAAGGACTAAAGATGAAGCAAAATATCTGCTTCCAGAGAAAGAACTGATACTGTCTGAATACAGACTGAAGCAGGCTAGTTTTCACTTTCTTTCATTTTTTCTTTTATTTGAGTCTTCTTGTACAAAATGACTAATATGGAAATGTTTTATACAATTGCACATGTATAACCTGTATCTGCTTGCTTACCATCTCAGGAAGGGGGTAAGGGAAGGAGAGATAGAATTTGGAACTCAAAACTTTTTAAAAAAATGTTAAAAAAAATTAGGGGGCAGCTAGGTGGCACAGTGGATAGAGCACTGGCCCTGAAGTCAGGAGTAACCGAGTTCAAATCCGGCCTCACACTAAACACTTGACACTTACTAGCTGTGTGACCCTGGGCAAGTCACTTAATCCCAATTGCCTAAATAAAAAAAATAACTAAAAATAAAATGTTAAAAAATTGGAAAGAAATTAAAAAGAAAATATATTAAGGAAAAATATTCCTTTTTCAATAAAGTGGGAAGAGGATTGGGTTTTGAGGAAAATATTATTTTGAACATGTTTGAGATGTCAATCTATAAGGCATCCAGGCCAATTAGTGTTATAGGACTGGAGCTCACAGGACAAACTAGAGATCTGGGGGTCATCTACAAAGAGATGAAAACTGAATCACTGAGGGACATAGTGAAAAGGGAAGAGATAGAGCCTTGGTTAAAGGGTGTGATAGGATGATAAGGCATCAAAAGAAACTGAAGAGAGGGCAGATCAGAAGAAGAACCCAGAGAGAGCAGTGTCCCAAACCCAGAGAAGAAAGAGCAGAGGAATTAGAGTAGTCAACAATGCCAAATCTTGTATCCAGGCCAAGAAGACTGAGGACTGAGAGGGACAAGAAGAGATTACTTAGGCTCCTCTGAGATACACCGTTACATCCACCAAATTAGCAAAGGTGGGAAAAGTTGGAGAAATCAACTCTGGAAGGTGGTGGGAAGACATGCTAATTATGCACACTAATTCATTGCTGTGGGAGCTGTGAACTGGGAAAAACAGTTAGGAATTCTGCAAGGAATGTTAATCAACTCTCCACATCCTTTGATCTAACCATTTAATTATGGGTTCATATCCCAAGGAAATTAATGTCCCAAAGTGAAATACATTCTCTCCTCCCCTAACCCCGACCCAACTGATTCTTTTTCCAAATTTCCCTGAAGTAATTCAAAGGCAGCCCCATTCTTCCAGGATTCCTAGATGGTCTTCTCACTGCCTTCTCACTCGTTCACTCTGTGTATCTAATCTTCTATTTACTAACCCTCAAACCCCTCCTCTCTGCTCACTGCCACAGCCTTAGTTCAGGCACTCATCAACTATTATATTTATTTGTAATACTATTTAAAATACATATATTATGACAACTCCCACATTTAATTGTGCTCAGAGGGGTAGCTCTGATGTTGGCAGCATCCATACAACCTCAGGAAGCCTCCAACTCCTCACCCATCAGCTTGTCCAACTCCAGAGAGTGGAGAGCAATCACAGCTCTTCTGTAGTGTGGGATAGGGGAGATGCATTAGAGTGAGCCCTAAGTGGGATGGGCCAGCTCAGTAGGGCAGAAGGAGGAGGAGGAGGAGGAGAAGAAGAAGAAAGGAGGTTCTTTCAGTACTCTAAATCTAGAGCTCCTTTCTCACTCTGAGGGTTGGTGGCTGTTACTGACATCTCAGCATCTCCTAGGGCTTCTTTTCCTGCACTTCTCTCTCAGAGTTTGTGCTTCTTATCAAATCTCTGTGTATCACTTGGTTTCTTTCCCCCCCTGTGGCTCTGCCTTTATTCTCTGTTTTTGCCAGATTCTTTTCATGTCTTCTTTATGTCTTTTCTTCTGTGTGTGTCCCACCCCCCTTCTTTAGGACTCTGCCTGTCTGTTTCTATCTCTATCTGTCTGTGTCTTTCTCCTCCCTCTCCCCAGTCTCAATCCCTTCTCCTCCCTCTCCTTGCCCACTCTGCTCTCCCCTCTTCTCTCTTCTTCCCTTTCTTCTTCTTCTGACCTTTGGATTTCAGATCTTTGCCTTTCTGTTTTATCTCCATGTCTCAGGCTAGTTGGACAGAATGCTTCTATCTTTCTGTAAATCTATTATTCCCTTGCAAGGGTGGGGTCAAAACCTCTCGGTTTGTCTCTTAAGCTTTGACTAAGAGCAAACCATAGGGAGAGGGAGCAATGGGGAGAGAGAATGGCCCCTGGGCTTAAAGAGAATGAATTGGTTACAGGGCATGAGATCAGCTTTCTTCTCTCCTGGTTTGTGTCTGTGTGTTTCCCTTCAGTGCATTTCTATCCCCAGTGTTCCTCCTTTTCCCTGTCCCTGCTTCTTTTTGGTCTTTCTCTTTGTGTTTTTGCTCCTCTAGCATTTGCAGGCCATGCGTGTCTTTATCTCAGGCTCCCTCTGACCACTCCGCTTCCAGGCTTAATTTCTTTGGGACAAAACGCGCCTTTTCTCCCCCTCAAGCCCTTCTCCTCTGGAGTTAGTCCGTTTCTTCTCTGTAAAGTAAAGTGCTGGGTTGACCCTAACCGCTGTCTCTAAGCCTCTTTCTCTTCTAAGCTCTTCAAGTCTGGGTGCCTTCTCAATGTCAGTCCTCAATATTGCTCTAGCTCTCCCCTCCGCCCCTTCACTTTCTCTCACTGGGGCTGCACCAAGGCGAGACCTCTGTCGGCGTAGCCCCGGCAGGCTTAGACTGAGGAGTGTGGGAGGCCCGACGCCAGAGTTTTCGAGCCCGGGATGGCCTGACCGCGGCGGTTGGACACTTTGGCGAGGGAGGCCTCGTTCTCCAGGGTTCGGCGTCTCCAATCGGAGAGAGGGGGACTGCTGAAGGGAGGGGCTGTGGGGACGCCTGAGTCCCCGGGCCGAGTGTAGGAGGCAGAGCTTCCTGGCGGGATTCCGCCCTGGGCCCATCCTGGCCGGGGCCCCAGGCCCCGGGATCCTGGACTCGGGACCTGCCCTGACCTAGGGACCATCACAGCCATGGGATCTCACGGCTCCCACTACGAAAGAGAGACCAAACTGGACTTGATCTTAGAGGAGACCGGCTGTGAGTGGGACTGCTGCGGACCCAAGTGTCCGAGGCTCCTGGCGCCCGGAAGGACTGCGTCGGGGCGGCGGCTGGGGTGAAAGGGCTGGGACACAGCTCAGCCGATTCCCAAGCAGGAGCCAGGACTGGATCCCAAACGCAGACTTCCCAGGTCCCTGCGGCCGAAGACCCCAGCGGCTGACTGGGACTGGCGCGGGCGGGGGGCAGGATGGTCCCTTGGTCTCTCTGAGCTTTGGTGAGAGTGGGGAGCGGGCCGAGGAGTGGGGGAAGCGGTCTGATTTTTGCTCTGTCCCCCCCCTCAGCCGTCCCTGGCCCAGCTTCTCTGTCCCTGGTTTCTGCTCCTGCATCCTGAGTCGTTGCTGGTCTCCTAAACCCTGAGCTCTGAGCCTGGGGCAGTTTCTGCCCCCTCAGACCCTGACCCTGGGACCCCTAGTCTCTGAGTCTTCAGTCCCAGACATCGGGCTTGAACCCTCTGATCCCTGAGGCTCTGGTTTCTTGAGTCGAGAATTCTGAGCCTTGAGTTTCTTTTGGTCACTCCGATCCTCTTCCGACCCCCAGCACCCAGCTTTGATTCTCTGTCTTCTCACTCTCCAGTCTTTCGGGCCAACCTCAGTCACCTCCATCAGCGATTCCAGTGCTTGGACAAGAATAAAAAGGGCTTCTCGAGGTGAGCAGAGTCTACCCCACCCTTACGGCTCTGGAACATTGAGGACTGGGCCTCTGAGCTTTCAAGCCTTTTCCCCAGCCCTGCATTGACTGACTGTTGCCATGGTCCCTTACTCCCCACCCAATGATGCCTGTGACACTTCAGCTCAATGTGAAAGCTTGATGGAAGGTTTCCCCCTTGTATAATAAGGTTCCTTTTCCTTTATTCTGCCTCCCTCCTCCCAAACTCTCCCTCCCAGTCCAGTCAGATGCTAGATTTTTGACCCTGAAACTTCCCCAACCGTGGGATGCATCTACACACTGTAAAAGAACTTGAAATGAACCCACTGGCAAATCGGGTCATCAACAGCTTTTTCCCGGATGGGTGAGTACACAGAGAGGACAGAGCTTTAGGTGAGAGGGGGAGTGGATGGAGCCTTGGGGAAGAGGGGGAGCCTCAGGAAACAGAAGTGACTGAGAGGACGAGAACTCAGCCAAGGGTCAGACCCTGCAGATATCAAAATGAAGGCTTATATTAGAATTCACTCTTTTTTGTTCAGATCTAAGATCTGGGTCCCAGGACTTGAAGCCTGCACCTCTTTTGAGGATAGAGGTTTGGGAGGGATAACATGATTTTTTTATTCAGGGGTCAGTGTGTGGATTTCCGAGGCTTTGTCTGGGTCCTGGCCCATTTTTGACCATTGGAAAATAAGGACTCAACCACTGGGGATCCCCAGAAGCCTGAGCCTCCAAACAGCCGGAACAACGAACTGCGTTGTGAGTGGAATGGGGGGAGGGGGGGAATCGCTGAAAATCATTGCCGCTGAGACGCCATCCTCCTTTTGACCTTTAACCTCCCTTCTTCCCTCACCTCTGTGACCCTGATTCATTTGACGTACTAGCAAGTCCCTTCTCCAGTCTGAGCCTCAATTTCCCCATTTGAACAATGGCCTTGGACACTAAGGTTGCTTCCTTCCCATGCCATGACTAGGAAATGTTGAACAGGGGCAATTGCCGTTGAGCAAGGATGAGGAGGCATATGAGTCCGGGTCAGGATTATTCCTATGCAAGTCTGAAGTCGACTGGAGACAAAGGTCTTGGGAGTAGAGGAGGATGAGGAGGCGAGTGTCCAGGGCATGGGACAAGGCTGGGTCTGGGAGCTGGAGATGGCTAGGCCAGTTCCTGAACTTCCTGGGAGGAGGAAAAGTGACCTGGGAGGCCACAGGTGTCAGCCACAAGGACCTGGGCAGGCTGAAGTGAACTTTTTAAAAAATTTTTTTGAGTGTTTGGGGACAAATTTGAACTCAGGAAGATGAATTTTCCTGACTCTAGGCCCAACACTTTATTTATTTATTTAGAACTATTTATTTATTTTTAGTTTTCAACATTCACTTCCAAAAGATACTGAGTTTTAAATTTTTCCCCATCCCCGGCTCTCCCCTTCCCCAAAAAAGCATGCAATCTGACATATGCTTTACTTATACATTCATATTAAGCATATTTTCATATTAGTCATGTTGTAAAGAAGAATTAGAGCCAATAAGAGGGACAACAAGAAAGAAGAAACAAAGGAAAAGAAAAGAAAAAAAAGAGTAGATAGTATGCTTTGATCTGCATTCAAACTCCACAGTTCTTTCTTCTTTGTGGATAGCGTTTTCCATTGTGAGTCTTCTGGAGTTGTCTTAGATCCTTGCATTGCTGAGAAGGGCTGTCTGTCAATGTTAGTCATTGTACAACATGGCTGTTACTGTGTACAACATTTTCCTGGTTCTGCTCACTTCACTCAGCATCAGTCCATGAAAGTCTTTCCAGGTTTTTCTGAAGTCTGCCTGCTCATCATTTCTTAAAGCACAGTAGTATTCCATTATTACCATATACAACTTGTGTAGCCATTCCTCAACTGATGGGCATCCCCTCAATTTCCAATTCTTTGCCACCACAAAAAGAGCTGCTATAAATATTTTTGTAGATGTGGGTCCTTTTCCTATTTTTATGATCTCTTTGGGATACAGACCTAGACATGGCATTGCTGGGTCAAAGGGTATGCACAATTTTACAGCCCTTTGGACATAGTTCCAAAGTGCTCTCCAGAATGGCTGGATCAGTTCACAACTCGATCAACAATGCATTAGTGATCCGATTTTTCCACATCTTCTCCAACATTTGTCATTTTCCTGTTTTGTCATGTTAGCCAATCTGAAAGGTGTCATGTACCTCACAGTCATTTTGATTTGCATTTCAAATCAAATCAAAATCACTTGCAATCAGTGGTGATTTAGAGCATTTTTTCATATGACTATAGATAGCTTTAATTTCTTTCTCTGAAAACTGCTTGTTTGTATCCTTTGACCATTTATCAATTGGGGAATGACTTGTATTTGACTCAGTTTTCTATATATTTTAGAAATGAGGCCTTTATCAGAGACACTGGTTATAAAAATTATTTCCCAGCTTTCTGCTTCTCTTCTAATCTTGGTTGCACTGGCTTTGTTTGTGAAAAAACTTTTCAATTTAATGTAATCAAAGTCATCCATTTTACATTTCATAATGTTCTCTATCTATTGCTTGGTTGAAGGGAACTTTTTAAAGAAAGAGGAGGGGTAGTGACCAAGTGACTGAGTGAGTGTGTATGAGGAATTGGGAAGAGAAATAGGAAAGTCACTCATCCCCCATTGCCCTCTCTGTCAGTGGAGACAAGGGGCCACCATCAGCCTGTGGGAGGGGACCAAGATGTGAGCCTTGGAACATGAGAGGGACAGATCTGGGATTGCCTGATCCTAGAGCCTCAGAGATCAGACAATCCAGTCCCCTTATTCTCCAGATGAGAGCGCTAAGGCCCAGGCAGACAAATCACCTTGCTTCTATTTTGTATGCACCTGTTTATGTCAATGTAGTGTCAATGCAATCTCATTGAGGCCAAGAACAGGGCTTGGTAACCATCTTTGAGAGTACAGGAGAAGTCGCAGCACTTGGCACATACAAGGTGCCTTAGAAATGGGTGCAGAGCCAGTTGACTTCTCCCTCATTGCATTGGTCACCCGCCTTCCCTGAAGCCATGGTGGCCTATTGGAGACAGGCTGGACTCAGCTATATTTGACATTCCCAGATCTGTGCAAAAGTAGTAAGAAATGCACTGAAGACTGAATTCAAAGCAAATGCTGAAAAAGCTTCTGGCAGCAGTGTAAAAATAGGAGTGATGTAACCTGACTAATGCTACATTTTCAAACTGAAGCTTTTCAATTATATGTTATGGCAGATTGGAAATTGTCTCACTTCATGTTTTGCTATTGAGAGGAAAACACCTGACTGTGTAAATTGACATGCCAATAAATTAATCCCTGGTTCAAAAAAAAAAAAGAAGAAGAAAGAAATGGGTGTAGGTTGACTGCCTGCCCAAGATCACACACAACCCAGCCATTTTTGAGTGGCATTCATTCACTCAAAGCATATGCCAGGTACCATGCTAGGCAGTGGGAAACAAAGACCAACATTAACGAATCCTTGCCCTCAAGGGGTTGACATTCTTTTAGTGGAAAGTTAACAGAAGCTACAGCAGGTGGCACAGGGGCAGGAAGGTGCCGACAGCCTTCAGGCAGGAAGGACACAGTTCTGGTGGCGAGCTTTGAAGGAAGCCAGGGCAAGGTGGGACAGAGGGGAGGAGGGAAGGCACTCTAAGCTGAGGCTCCATCAGCCCCAGCTTGACTGGACCAGAAAGTGTATGGAGAAAAGCAATTGAAGGACTCGTCTACCTGGAAAGGCTAACTGAGACCGACTCTGAAGCCTTCTACATGCCCACTCAAACCCATGACTTAAGCCAAGAAGCTTGGAAGCTGTGAGGAGGCTGAATTGGAGAGAGGAGAGATGGGAACGGGAGCTCAATTAGGAGGTGAAAGCAGGAGTCCACGAGAGAGGGGATGAGGGAGGGCTTCAGTAGGGAGGTGCCCATGAGTGCTTGGAGAAAGGGGATGGATAGAAAGGGTGTTGTGCAGGTGGAATCCACCAGTTGGTGACTGGTTGGACATTTGGGGGGAGGGGGAGTGAGGGCAGGGTGACTCTCGGGCTAGGAACAATGGTAGTGTCCTAGACTCTTGGGCAGTGATGCGAGGAAGGACAGAGGTAAGTGACTGGGGTAGGAGGGGACTAAGCCTCCTTAGGGCACTGTGGTGGCTGATACCACTGTGATCTCCCCAATTGAGCCCCAATGATCCCTCACATTTCCAAACATCTGTTTGTCTAACTTAATCGGCTAGGAAAGCAGGACCTGGGGAAGAGATCCTGTTGGGTGGCAATCTGGACCGGAGGCATTTGGTAGGCTAGGTGTGGCTAAGAAGGAGTCACACTACCAAAGGGGAGGAGGAGCCTCAGCCTGGGATGTCAGAATCTGCAACAAATGCCAGACCTTTGGTTCCAGCCACTGTGTAACTGTAGCATGGTCTGGATCTGGGGAAGCAGGGCCTCTAGCAGAGGACAGGACAGGACTGAAGAAGGCCCCATCCCTGTCCTGACCTCACTTTCTTTTTCCCACCTAGTCGTTTTTCAGCTCTATGACCTAGACTGTGATGGAAAGATCTCAAAGAAAGAGATGTTATAGGTTGGAGAAGGGGTTGTGAGGGTTGTGTGTGTGTGTGTGTGTGTGTGTGTGTTCATATGTATGCTGTCTCTGCATTGGGGTTTGTATGTCTAATGTGGACCCAGAGGTGCATACGGACGCCTCCTTTCCACCTTCACCCCCCATGTTCCTCCCTGTGTTGTGGCATCTGGTATAACCATTGGTAGGGGATGGGGCGGGCAGGGATGGCTGGGTTCAGGGGCTGGGGTGGGGGTAGCTGATGATGGCAATGGATCATTGGGGATGAGTGGTTTGGGTTATATGGTTATACACAGGGATGGGGCAGGTATGTATTTTTGGAAAATCTGGAAGTAACATGGCCTGATTTATTTCCACTTTCCTCTCTAGGGGCACTGCCAGGTCTTGAGGTTGATAGCTGGGTTCGAGGTGACAGATGAGCAGTTGGAGGTCATTGCAGCCCAGACAGTGCAAGAAGCTGATGAGGATGGGGACGGAGCTATGTCCTTTGAGGAGTTTACCAAGGTTAGCGGTGACCAGCATCATGGGAGACTGAAGGCTTGGATACTCAGAGATGGCAGTAGGATGGGGGAAATACTAGGGGCAGAGATAGAACCCTGGATTAGTGGTGGGGCTGGGGGCAGGGAGGGAGGAAAGGTTCAGAGATATGGGGATACAGCACCCTGGGGGCTGAGGGCTCTGCTTCTCCCCATCAGTCCTTAGACAGGATTCACGTCGAACACAGAATGAGCATCCAGATCCTGAAGTGACTTCCTTCTCTAGGAGGCATCTTCCCCACCCTGGAGGAATCCACTTCCAACCCCCAGCAGTATTCCTTTCCATTCCAGGGGTGCACCCCTCACTATTCCTGGTGGAATCTGCTTTCTGGCCCTGGAGGGATCTGCCACCAGACCTGGAAGAATCCATCTCCAAAGGGCTATGCCTCTCTCCTTTTAGGGGGATCCTGAAAATCTCGTGGGGTTCCTCTGCTTCTGGAGGGATTCACCCCCCACCTGAGTTAATTTAGCCCAATCTAGAGAATCCATGCTGCACCATGGAAGGAACACACTGTTCCTTCCTGAAAGGCTCCACCTCGGAGGGTCTTCCTCCATTTCCAGAAGGGTCCCCCCCCCACCTTCCTATAGGGTTCTCAGCCCCTCACTCAGCTGGAGGAATATTCCCCACTCCCCTTCACATAGACTGAGTTGCTTTCAAGTCCCCCTCCCCACCTCTCCACCTTGCCCACCTGCTAGGTCGTTTAATCAGTAAGTTTGGAAAAGCCCTTGTCAGTATTTGTGTATAGCTCAATAAACCCTAAATGTTCCCCTGGAGTGGAATCAATCGCAGAATGAAAAGGGGTCTGGGTAGGGGTTCTGTTCTTTGTTATCTTCCCCTTCTTGCCCAGCTCAGAGAGTGACCCAGCAGCTGGGAGCTGAGGGAGGACAGACAGACAGACACATGCAGAGAGGACAAACCTCAGGAAAGCATAGAGGAGGCAGATTCACCCACGTGAAGAACCCTCATTCCAGGACTGGATTGGGCTCTGAGCAGGCATCCTTGCCCTAGGCTAGGATCTTCCTGGGCAGGGATAGGGAGAGAAGCCCCAGGGGAGACCTCCGTGTCCCATGATGGGGTGAGGCTAAGAAAGGTAAGGGGATCCAGGTAGAACTGCGTGACTGCGTGGGGGCAGGGGAACAGATGACAAGAGAGGAATTCAAGAGAAAAACCATCATGGAACTGTGTGGCAGGGGTGATGTGTTGGTGAAACAGGCCTGTGGCAGCTAGGTGGCGCCAGAGTACACAGGACACCAAGCCTGGAGCAACAAAGAACTGAGTTTAAAGTTGAGCCTGCTACTCACTAGCTGTGTAACCCTGGACGAGTCATTTAACCTGACTGCCTCACTTTCGCCATTTGTAAAGTAGTAATAATAACAGAATCTACCTTGCAGAGTTGTTGTGAGGATTGCACGACATATTTGTAAAGTGCTTAGAACAGAGCCTGGCTCATAGTAGGTGCTGTATGAAGGCTTATTTCCTTCCCCCTCCCCCAGTGGGATCCTGGGCTGAATTGAGAAGCCTATCCTTGTGTCAGTAATAAGGCAAAGATACATCTGAAGGAAGGAATTACAGTGCTTTTATTATCCCCATTTTACAGTTGAGAAAATTGAGGCAAACAGGTTAAGTGACTTGCCTAGGGTCACAGAACTAGTAAGTGTCTAAGACTGCATTTGAACTTGGCTCTTCCTGACTACAGGCCCAGTGCTCTTTCCACTGTTGTATCACTTAGCTGCCTGAAGTCCCTCTGCCCTCCTCAGTGTTCAGATCTGGAATCTTGTCTCCATTTCTGGCCATTATGGTTGTTAAGAAAGGAAATGGATAGGGTTCGATAAGCTGGAGTGTAGAGGAAAGCCAGATTGGTGAGAGGAGTCATGCTGATTCAGGGATAGGCTGAAGGGGTCCCACTCAGAGACTCTGGAAGGAACGCCAATATGCTTGGTCTGGGATTTGGGGCATCCATGGTCAGTTAAATGAATGAGGTCAGTTTAGTCTGGAGAAGAGCTAGCTGGTGACACAGCGGGTGGGCTGGAGTCTTCTAGCTCTGTCCATGGTAGAGGCTGAAGAGAGATGAGTTTGGGCGTGAGGTAAGCAAACCCTTCCTCTCAGTGAGACCTGTTCTGAGCTGGATGACCCCTGGTTAGCCTTGCCGGAGGGGGGGGCATGGGAAGCATTGGGCTGGACAGTCACTAAGATTCCTGCCCCCTCAGAGATGCTGTTTCTCTGAAGTGGGACAGTGGATGGGGTACACAGGTGGATGGAGAGGACCTACCAGACCCTCTGCCACTGCCCCTCCACAGATGTAATGGAAGAACCCAGGAATCGTGGGCCTCGCGCAGTCACCTCGGGTCTGGTGAACAGAACTAGTTTCTGGGCTTTCTGCCCTTTCCTCTTCCACACCTGAGACTTAATGGGTGTAGGGAGCATCCCATAAGGAAGAGCCCTTCACCAAGGCAGACTCACCCCATTCTGTAAGTTGAGGACTAATCAGAGGCTTCTGGGGCCACGGAGTCATATACTTGATACGTATTAGTGGCAGGACTTTCTGAACCCAAGGCCAGATTTCTAGTGACTGGGTCAGGCAGCCTTGTGCCTCTTTCCCTTCTGCCCCCTTGGGCCAGTATAGTAACTTCTCAGAATTCCTGAGGGTTTTTATTCCCTAGAAAGACAGAGAAAGTCACCCTGGGAGGATCAGTACTGGATGAAAATCAAAGCCTTCCTGGAACTTGCATACCAGTAGCAAAGGTAATGCGATGGTGGGGGTGGGGTGGCTTTGGAGTTAGGAAGGCCTGGGTTCCAGTTTTGCCATTGACACATTCTGCCTTGGAAAAGGTACCTAACCCTAACCCTAACTTCCAGCATGAACTCTAATCCTAGATTGGCCCAGGAAACTGGAAGGTGATGGATTTTGGGGACACTTTTCAGGGGGTCTGTGAGGTCAAACTATTTCCACAATAATAGCATACAAGAATACATGTAGAGTCGTAATGGTGACATCAAGAGAGAAGAGATGTTTTAACTCTGAATGCGGTAACTATTGAGAGGTGAACTCTACAGACACAAACACTCTTGGGGGATGAAGGGGGCCTGAGACCAAGAGACCTTTTTTGAGGATGCCGCTATAAGGTTATAACATGCAGGTAGTCGATGTCCACATTTGGAGGTGGAGTCTCCGAAGCATAGGCTAGCCCAGGTCTAGGCTAAAACAAAACTGAAGACCTATTAGGAAGCAGTCAGCCAACATGAGGAGGGAAGACAGCATCAGATCTGGCCTGTTCATGTCTTCTTGGAGCTCCTTGGATAATGGATAAAATACAAACACATTCCATGAGAAGTCATTACTGGTAGAAGGAATGAGGGAGATGATTGTCTTTCAAGGAGGGATGGCAATTCAGCAGGGAAAAAGCAGGGGGAAGGGCATTTCAGGCAGAAGGTACAGCCTGAGCAAAGGCAAAGAAGTGGGAGAACACAAGAGCTCATTCAGAAAGCAGAGAGACAATTTTGGCGAGACCCCAAAGAACATGAGTGTGACTAATAGGAGATAATGCTAAAAAAGGAAGGGATAGGGCAGAAAAACAGAGAGGGCCTTTCATGCCATGGAGAAGAGTCTGAATTTTCAGACCATGTGGGGGAAGTCAATGAAGATCCCAGTCTCGGCCATTGGCCCTCTCACCACTAACAGACCAAAGAACCCTGTTTGCTTCCCTGGCTAAAAGTTCTGAGGCATGCACTTCTAGGTAGTCACAACGCTACTTTTTTCAGATGTCCAGTTTCACCTACTTGACGTTTTCAGGTAGGGACTTGAAAAGAGATTCTGGAGGAGGTAACATGAGCTGAGAATTCAAGGAAGCCAGGAATTCTGCAAGGCAGAATTTGGGAGAAATGACATGGTGAAAAATGTGGAGTTGTCATTGCAAAGGCACAGACATGGGAGAGGGAGGGCTGTGGGTGAACCAGGAGAGCTGAATCCCTGCGTCCACAGAATCTAGAATATGGGAAAGGTGGGGAAGAGCTTACCTGCCAAACAAAGGCATGGTTACCACCTTGCAGGTAATAGGGAGCCATTAGAATTGTTTGAGCAGAGAAAGACCAGATCAGACCTGTTTTATTTCAAACACTCAGCTGAGTGGAAGGTTAGGATTAGAAGGGAGAGACTTAAAGCCGGGAGGCTCATAGGAGGTGCTCAGAAGAGACCAGGGGTCAAGGGATCAATCAGTTCTCTCAGGACGCCACCAAAGTATGTTCTCCCAAATTCTCTTCCTATTTCTTCACCAGACAAGCATGAAACCCCATTTTCTCAGGAACTGTATTTTCACAGTCCTTTTCTTCTCTCCCCTCCTCATTCATCGCAGGTAAAGGCAGTCTAGGACAACTGTTAAGTGTTCAATCTCATCAGGGCTGCCCAACATTCCATCTCCTCTTAAAGATACCATAAACAGAAGCTGGTGTTACAAAAGGATTTTGGAATTCTTGATTCCAAAGTGGAACACTGGTAGATGATAGTGAGATAGAGGGTGTGACTATCCCTGTGTATGTCTGAGGCAGAGTGGAGGCACAGGTCATGGGAGCTGAGAATGGAGGAATTAGGAGTTTGGGGTGTTTTGGGGAACCTCAATAGATAATTGAAATCTCTGTATATAATGCTATGGCTTGGGTTGGGGAAAGGAAGTTTGTGAAACAGGTCCTGGACTTCTAGAAAAAGAAGGGATAGGCTGACCTGGGGGTCCATAGAGGATGCCCTCCAGAATTTTGATGGACTTGTTGATTCGGATGCACTGAATCTGAAAAGAAGAAAGGTTATTGGAGTGTGGTGCTGGACTATTCTCCTGCTTAAGTGTTTCAGGGGCTATGAGAGGAGAGAATGGCCAGGAATGCCTCGCCCAAAGGGTGGGAGCCAAGTCTCTTGTATGCTAGGATATCCAAGGGAATCCAACTTGTCATAGGAGGTGCTGTGTAACTAAAAACCATCCCTACTTTGCAAACCTCTTAAGGAGCTAGAGGGACCCTGGCCCTGTCAGTTGGTTGTACTTTTAAGTGGCTCTAATTGTTCTAAAGTCCCTTTGAGGCTAATCCTGTGGCTGCAGCCCAACATACTGACCTCAAGGATTCTCTATTGGTTGGTTCCATTCCATTGACCCTTTTCTGCTGCTGTGGTACCTCATCTTCCATAATCTTACAGTTGATTTAGTGCAAATACAACTTTAGTTTCTTGTTTGCTGTTAATAAAAAAAAAAAGCATAGACTAGGGGCAATTAGGTGGTGTAGTAGATAGAGAACCAGCCCTGGACTCAAGAGGACCTGAGTTCAAATCCAGCCTCAAATACATGATACTTACTAGTTACGTGACCCTAGGCAAGTTACCTAACTGACTGCCTCAAAAAAAAAAAAGCATAGACTGCAACTTTGATGTGTGTTGAAGCCTATGGATTAGGTGGCTTGAAGGGTCCTATGAAGTAAATGTTTCTCCAAACAGTCTAGTTTAGGGTTAGGGACTGGACCTGTGATTATTAAATCTACAGGCATCTCCCAGACCACATATAGGTCAGTACCTCTTCTGCCTAGAGCACTTGGAGGGGGAGAGATTCATTCAGCATTACCCAGCCAGTGAGCATTTATATTAGGTCCTGGAGGCAATAGGGAGCCAGTGGAGCTTATGGGACTGAGGACTGAGAGAGGAGAGCAGTAGAGCTGTGCTTGAGGAAGGTGGCTTACCATTCTCACAGACCAACATGGTGGCTTCACTCTAATTGTTT